GGGGAGCCGGCGGCCGGCCCAGGCCGCGGAGCCTCGGGCTGGGCTGTGCCCGCGAGCCCGCTCTCCCCCGGGGCGCGCCCACCGCCCAGCCCCACCTGCTCCCCGCCGGGCACTTCTCCCGCGCTCCGGGCGCCCACTCTCCGGCCTGGGCCGGGGGCGCGGGGATTCGCGCCGGGCTGAGACGGCGAGTGGGGGTGACAGGCTGGCGGGTGTTGTGGTGCGGAGGAGGCGGCACGTGTGGTGTTGTGTCTCTCGGGCTGTCAGCCCGGGCGCGGGCGGGGAGGCGGCGGGCCTCCTGTCAACCTCGGCGGTTCGGGCGGGAACTGCCGGACCTGTCAGGCCGCCGGCGCGCCCCGCGCCCCGGCCGCTTGGGCTTGGCGTTCGGAGGAGCTGGGTCCGGGGCTGCGCCGCTCGGAACTCCTTCACGTGATTTCATTGTTAACTTATTCCTCGGTTCCGTTTCCACCTAATGGAAACGGCGGAGCACCCCCTTGCAAACGGCAGGGTTGTGCCGATTCAAGTTTTTAAAGTTTCTCGCTCTTTAACGAGAGAGCGCGAAGATGTGTTTGGGGGTGGGGAATGGGGACCGGGAAGGACTGTCGGGAGCGAGTCGCGCGCTCTCTAGCCGCCGGTGTACTTTCTGAGAGTTAAGATTCGGGTCTGAAGGCGCTTCGCTTTCTGAAGACCTGCAGACTAGTGAAAATCCGGCCAGAAAGACAATGAGTAACTGTCATTCCATCTCTTAACCTTCGCGCTTAATCAGTCCGGACGTTCCCAGCTTTTAAGCTTAGGTTGTAGCTTCTCGTTTAGTTGAGCCTTAATGTCTATATAATGAACTTTCTTGGGGTAATAATGCTCTGATTTCTGTTCTCCGGAGACCCTCACCAAAATGAAGTATAGCTCGCTCTGGGTGCTTCTTTTTAGTCAGCTAATTTTAAAATAACTCGGCTCAGGTTTGAGTGTTTGCTTCAGCCTTTTCTTTCCCATCGGAGTTAATAGTAATACCTCTTTCTTAATATCTATTAGTTTTTCTTTTGATTTCAATGTCACTGCTAAGAATAGTTGCTGTGGGAGCCATTTTTCTAGTATTGTTTATATGGTAATGTAAATGTTACCCAGCGTTAAGAGCAGAAGTTCTAAAAAACATTTCAGTTAAGCTTATTTTTGGAGGCAAAGGAATTATCTAGATTCAGAAGTCACTATTTTAGTAATTTTAAAAAATTTGTATCTGCCAGATTCTTTTGTATGAAAGAATATTAACTTTGATCTAGAGAGGCAATATATTTCTGTTTGTGTTTTATTTATTAATGTTCATTTCAGGGGTAGCAATCTTGAATTAATATTTTTATTAGATTGACTTCTCTTTAGACTCACAAATAACGAATACATTACTATGCATTTGATATGTGGTATGTGCATTTGACCCTAGTGATTCTGGGCCTTTCTCATTTCTAGTTTGTCTACCTGTAGGTTGCTTATACACAATTTGACAGTTGTTACTCCCTCTAGTATGTGGATATTAATATCTTAGTTTGGGTTATCAGCATGTAATTCTTGAAATTGGATTATTTTAAAATTCTTTAAGCACTTTCACATTAGGCTACTTTCAATGTTTTGTTTTCTGTTTTGAAAACTTAAAGTAATATTGTAGTTAAATTATAAACTGGGTCTGTTAAATTGTATTTGTTGTTTCTTTTAGTATGTGAAATAGTTAACGTTTTCTCAGTCATTTTCTGCCTATCTTATTGACTGTTTTTATCCACTCCGAATGTCTGGAATTTTGAAAGATGGAAGATTCACTCTTACTTTCATTGCAGGATTCTTTCTACTAATCCAGATACTTGTTGAAGTGCTGAATAGTTTCTTGGGGAAAGATGTCAAGGAAGAGTTGAAATTCCTAGACTGGTGAGCAGAGATTGTGGAGTACAGAATAGCCAGCACCCCTCTGGTTAGTTGCAGTTTAGGTCATTCATAGAACATCTCATCTTATTTCTTTATTGTATCCTAATCACTCATCTTTTTTTTCTTTTCTTTTTTTATCCCAATGGTTTACATACATGATTGTTTTGGAATGTTAATAGAAATGTGTTAAAACTCTCATGGGTGCCCAATAAACACTTGCTACTTGGTTGCTTTAAAAGACTAGAATACTTGTTTTCAAAATGGGCTTTGGTAGAAAACTAACCTTGTTTTAATTGTTTTTCAGGCATAAGAAACACATTTTTCTGCTCTGAAGCTGGGAATGAGATATTCTTGAGTTCTTACAACTTTATGAAGAGACCCATGTGTGGTGCTACTGAGAAATTTTTGGAAAGTTTGAAGACATTTCAAATAACAGGTTATTTTGGTTTCTAAAGTAAAAGCGGGGAGGCATTCTGTTTTGTGAAAGGAGGAAGGACTCAGGCCAGAAAACTTGTATGCTATGGTTAACTGGTTCCCAGCCTCCGAGAATCTTGTTTTCCATGGTGTAAAACTTACTCAGCATCAGGATAAGGGATAACGACTCTATGGATATACAGAATCCTTCACCATGGTAAAACTCGCTAACCCGCTGTATACTGAGTGGATTTTGGAGGCCATCAAAAAAGTAAAGAAGCAGAAACAGCGTCCTTCAGAAGAAAGGATATGCAATGCAGTGTCTTCCTCCCATGGCTTGGATCGTAAAACTGTTTTAGAACAATTGGAGTTGAGCGTTAAAGATGGAACAATTTTAAAAGTTTCAAATAAAGGACTCAATTCCTATAAAGATCCTGATAATCCTGGGCGAATAGCACTTCCTAAACCTCGAAACCATGGAAAATCGGATAACAAACAAAGTGTGGATTGGAATAAACTGATCAAACGGGCAGTTGATGGCTTGGCAGAGTCCGGTGGCTCAACTTTGAAAAGTATTGAACGTTTTTTGAAAGGTCAGAAAGATGTGTCTGCATTATTTGGAGGCAGTGCTGCCTCTGGCTTTCACCAGCAATTACGATTGGCTATCAAACGTGCCGTTGGCCATGGCAGACTCCTCAAAGATGGACCTCTTTATCGGCTCAACACTAAAGCAGCCAGTGTGGATGGGAGAGAGAGTTGTGAGTCTCTTTCCTGTTTACCTCCAGTGTCACTTCTTCCACATGAAAAGGATAAGGTAAGAATGGTATATGCAACAATGTTCATAGAGGTGATGATGCAGGATGCTACAAATTCACCTGTCTAGGAAATTACATAGAAGTTGCATTCAAGTTTTGTGTTTGGGGACTTTTGTGGAGTAATCATCTCTGGTTTATTATTGGTGAGTTCTAGCTATCTCAGTCAGAACTTGAGAGAAGCTGATTGTTCTGATACTGTGAAATATTTGAAGCCTAAGATTAAAAGTGTAGAATGTTGATCTACCTAAAAGAAAATATTAAGGTTAGTATTAAAAAGTGACATACAACTTTTTTTTCTTTTTAGAGACAGGGTTTTGCTCTGTCACCCAGGCTGGAATGTGGTGGCATGATCATAGCTCACTGCATCCTCACACTCCTGGGCTTAAGCAATCCTCTTGCCTCAGCCTCCCTAGTAGCTGGGACTACAGGTGCATGCTGCCACGCTTGGCCAGTTTTTAAATTTTTTGTAGACACAGGGTCTCACTCTGTTGCCCAGGCACGTCTCAAACTCCTGGCCTCAAGTGATCCTCCTGCCTCAGCCTCCCAAAGTACTGGGATTATAGGTGTGAGCCACAGTGCCCGTCCTACAACTTTAAAACTTTTTAAAGTAAAGGTTCTTATGATACCTTACTGCTGGAAGTTGATGCGCAGCCAGATGCTGGAGACTTGAATTTGAAACAAGCAGATGACTCTAAGAACCTGTCTTTTTTTTTTTTTTTTTCCATTTTGTTGCAGGTTATCATTAGACGGGAATGAGACAGATTCTTATGACCCATAGTAGTAGCTAAGCAAACTCAGCCATTCTTCTTTCTGCTGTTTGTGTTATAGCTTTCTATCATATATTATGGCCTTGCATTTGATGACGTCCTAAGTGTTATTTTTTTGTGATAGCTATAGTTATATGGGACAGGAATGCAGCATCCTGTATTTGAAAAGTTCTGAGAGTTGGGAGTTTTGATGCATGGGTGTATACCTTACTCTGTTGTGTGTTTTATGCTGTTATTTTATGTAGTTGAAAGTATATCTTAACAGTAAATTGTAGCATTTAGATATTTGGGGATGAGGAGAATTTTGTTAGTAGCTGTTTTTTACATTGACCCAGTATCTTGGCTGTGCATTTATTTCAAGTGCTTTGAATTGTAGTTCTTTGGAAAGAGGTAGTGCTTTAAGTTGCTTCACACCTTAGTATATGTTGGTTAGCAAAGTTATCTTCATTTTGCTTAAAATCATGGAGGCTACTTCTAGGATGAGAGGATTGTAATGTTAACACTGAATGCATTTTAAAACTTTGAGATTCGATCTAAATTTATTGTAGTTATTAACAGCCCACTGAATGAACTACCTGTAGATTTTTCTTTAAATAACAATTGAAAACCAGCAGTATTTTTCTTTGATGAACTTTTTAGAGAACTATTTTAGGGTTCAGTTTTCCCTGTGAACTTTAAAATAGAAACATTATCGTACTGTTATTACCCTTAAAATGATTCCCATAGAGTCATGAATTGATAGAGAATCCCATTCATAAAATGGTTCTATATCATTTAAGCATTTAAGAGTATTTAAAAATTCAAAGTGGACAAATAACTAGAATGCTTTATTCTTTAATTCAGTGCTATAAGAACACTTACCTGTAAGAGTTGATCACATGTGGCTAAAGTTAAAGTATGGTTAGATTTCTGCAGTTATTATAAAATGATCTAACAGGTCTACTGCATGGAAACAGGAAATGATTTATAGTTAGATCAATTCAGGGCCATACCTGTGAATTGGGTATTAAGTTCTTGTTAGAACACCTGGGTGTTTGCTTTTATAATAATTTGCCTTGCTTAAATTAGATATTTTAATTTTAAAAAGTATTAACCATACATAAAATGTCAGTTGTCCATATTTTTAAAAAGGTATCCAGTGTGGTACAGTGCAGGACAAATACAAGTCCTAGAGCCCTGGCATTTTACTTTTGAAAGGGACTTTAAGAACCATCTAATCCAACAATCCGTATGTTGCAGCTGAACTGAGGACCTTTGCTGAGGCCATTTCATAGCACCTTTGCATTAAGAAACATTTTATTCCATAGAGATGTGCTGGTTTGCTTTGGTTAGAAATACCTGTTTGGTTACATAGCTTTAATATATAGTGTTGTTAACTGAAGTAACTAAATTTGGAATATACATGTGGGAAAATCGAGTTTCTTTGAGCAGACTTCTATGTGTACTGATCTCATTAGAAACCAATTTCATGATAATATCTATGAAATTAGAGTTGATGAGATCTGTTCTATATTTTTAAGTGGAGTCTTATTTTTGGTAGTGAATTTCCTGAGTGACCTTCCCCAAAAATATGAAATGCTCACATTCAGAATCATAGTACAGTGAACTCTAGGATACGGAATTATTCCCCCTCTTATCAGATTATATGTCTACACCTTTTATTGTATTTTAACTACTTTCCTTCCTCTCCTACAAACTACCTAATCAGTTCCTATGTAGAATTATGGCTTGCTGTTATGAACCTAGATTTTTCTCAAAAAAAAAAAAAAAAAATTATCCAGAATTTGACAGTGATGGAGAAAGGAAGGTGTAGGCCGGAAGTGATCTATTTTAGGCATTAGTTAAATCAGCATGTAGTTATTGAACATCTCCTGTGGACCAGGCACTCTGCTTGGATCTGAAACGGCTTTATCTTCTTTGGAATGCTAATACAGGTGTATCCTTTGACCTAGTCAACTGTGGGGTAAGAGAAGAAATTCAAGGACTATATGAGTGCCCTGAGCAAGTTCCTCTTTTTCCTCTATCAATGCTAACTTTTTACTTATTTTTATGATATTAACCTTGGAAGGAATTATGGAACTGTATGTTAAATTTTCAGCTGAGTGTTTTTTGTTCTTTTTTGGGGAGATCAACTATGTAGAAATATTTTTAAGAGGAGTTTTTGTGAAGTCACTTCAACTTCACTGTGTTATTTTCACATGGATGAGTAGTGAGTAGAATCTGTGGGACACTGTGATTTAAAAGTTTTATTCATGTTAAAAGGGAAATTTCTGAACTAGCTTTTAGGTGTGGTAGTATGTGGTAGAGTTTATTTATTTAACTTAAATAAGTGTTTACTATGTGCCAGGCATTACTTTAATGCTATACATATATTAACTCATTTAATGCTGATACAACTAACATAACAGTACCAGCAATGAAGTAGGTACAGGTGAAGAAACCGATGCATAAAGAGATTTAGTAACTTGCCCAAGTCACACAAATACTAGGTGACAGAGCTGGGATTTGAATTTGGGCAGTCTGGCTCCAGAGACTTCCTAACAGCTGTACTGACCCCCTCTTGGGAGTTGTGATGTATATTGGCTGTCACTGTACTCAAGTACAAAGTTGTCATTGTCCTTGGTGTTACTTCATAGCACATTCCCTAATTGTAAAAGGATGCATTTCCCCCATGCCCTTTCACTGTTTGTGTCTCTTTTTTTTTCTTCCGTGGAACAAATTTCAAAACTGACTTTGGACCACTGATAAGAATATTTTAGGAACCAAAGATCTTATGAATGATCTAGTTTTGTATACCTGAGTTCCATTACAAAAACAAAGTTTCATCTATATGACATTTTGCTTTATCTTTTTTTCTTCAAAATAATTTCCGTGCTTACTAATTTTCGATTGTCACTGAAGTTTTCTGATTGCAGGTTAGAGATCTATTGCATAGCTGTTAACAGAGGGCTTTAATTGGGGGAAAAATATTGCTTTCCTTGAATGTAGGCTTATAGGTGAGGAGGATTGTGTGTAACTGGCTTAAATAGCAACTTCCTCCTTGTAAATTTCTTTCCTTTTGAAATATAGATATTTCTGTAAGGTAATTTGTTCATTTACTTCTCTTACTCGTTATTTATTCACCAGACATTTGAATGTCTACTGTGAACAAGTGCATTTAGGATTTAGGACCTGTGGGGTATTAAGGCAGATAGAATAGAGATGTGAAATAAATTTTTTTGGAACACTTTTTTAGTTTATGAAATATAACTTTTTGTTACATTGTATTTTTTTTTTGTAACAGTTAAGCATTATAAATCTTTGAGAAATATGTTTCGTAGATGAGGCTTGTTACTATTTGAGATGGTCCATTTAAAATACCATCTTTTATACTGAGTCTTGGAAGGACTCATGTTCCTTTCAAGAATAATTTTCACCTTGATTTCGAACTTCTGGTTTCATTTTACACACAGAAATTTACTTGAATGTATATAGTTTGTGTTCTATATTACTAGTCCAGAAAAGTATGCTCTTTGATAGTAATCAGCCAAATCATTGAAGTTTTGCTATTCTGTGAAATAGTATTTTGAACAGAATTATAATTTGCTGAAGCATTCAATTGGAAAGGGAAGAGAAGGTATTGTCAACTAATGTTATTGTTCAGCTTATTACCTAGCTGGGTAACTTGGAGCAGAAAGATCGAGTGATAAATCTCTTGCCTTCTACTATAAGTTATATCTCAATACAGTAAACTGTTAGTAGAGTCCAAATTATTTGGTTTTACTGGAATTGATACTTTAAATTCATAGAATAAATGGGGCTTTGATAGGAACTTAGATTTTTGATGTATAGGTACTGATTAGAATGGAGATACGTTTTCAAGTTACTGAGAGTTAAGAGTGGTAAAGTTTTGATTTAGCTATTTGGAAATGGATTATTTTTGTTTTTGTTTTTGTTTTTTTGAGGCAGAGTCTCCCTCTGTTGCCCAGGCTAGATAGAGTTCAGTGGGATCATCATCATCGTAGCTCACTGCAACTTCAAACTCCTGGGCTCAAGCTATCCTCTTGGTTCAGCCTCCTAAGTAGCTGGGACTACAGGAGTGTGCCACCACACCTGGCTATGTTTATATTTTTTGAAGAGACAGGGTCTCTTGCTCAGGCTGGTCTCAAACTCCTGGCCTCAAGCCATCCTCCCACCTTGGCCTCCCAGCGTGCTAGGATTAGAGGCTCGAGCCACCGCACCCGGCCTGGAAA